GACCTGCAGGCTCAGGGCACCTTTTCCCACCGCAGACACAGCCCCCTGGGAAGGGGGTGCCTGCTCACATCTCCAAAATCCCATCTTGGCTCAGCCAGGGCAGTCTAGGGTGGGACTACCCCCCAAAGGCAGGTTTTCCCAGCTGGGGAGCAGCACCAGCTCAGCCCCCAGTGGGTTTGCAGCACAGTATCCTCACCAGTCCCATCCCAGCAAGCCCCAGCCCCTTCCCCAGCAACCCCAGCTGCCTCTCCCCCCACCCCCAGCCACAGACACACAGCTTGGGGCACATATTTATACAAAAGTAGAGTTTATTGCCATTTCTACCTAAATTTACACAACTGTGTCACCACTTCTGACGTCAAAAGGGACGTCCCGTCACTTCCCAGAGAGCTGGCCGAAGAAGGTGGGGGGCCCAGGAGCACAGACCGGCTACCCCCACCCCAGCGGGCTGGAGCGCAGCCCCTGGCACGGCTCTGTCCAGGTCAGCCCGGATCCTCCCAGCGCTGCCGCACGGCTGTCACGGTGGATGCCGGAGAGGGGTGAATCCGTCCCCTCCTTCGGGCCGCTCGCAGCACTGGCCACCCAGTTACAGCCGCTCGCCGTTCCAGTCTTGCCTTGAATCCCCCAGCTGTACAGAGATGGGCATGGCTGGCCCAGAGCAGGGCACCCCACAGCCTCGTGGGCACCGCTCATGCGCGTGTTATACATAGATACAGCTACAGAAGACGCCCAAACTAATAAAACAAGCTTTTTTTCCTTGTAATCCCCACACTGATGTGCGTACAGCCATGCACTACACCGCAACTGCCACCACTGGTGCTGCTCAGTCAGGTTTGTGTTCCAGCCTGCTCCTGGGTGGCGAGCGGGACAAATCTGCATTGCTCACTAAACAACGGTCTTCCTCCAATGTCAGGCTTGGCCAGAAAGAGACCCCCCCTGCACAGTGCAGCAAAGGCACGGGATTCGGCGTGTGCTCCTTCCAACTGTGGATTCCCCTTAAATTGCCAAAGGCCGCCTGGCACCGCCAGGGTGTCGCAGATGCCCAGGTTTCAGCAGTGCCTGGGACGGGCAGGCTACAGATTTACTCCTGTGCCACGGCGGGTCGGATGGGGAGGGGTCAGCGCCCCACATCTCCCTCGCAGAAGAGCATCCTCGTGCAGGGGACAGCCGCTGGCTCTGCTGGCTGGCCGACGTTGCCCAAGGGGGGCACGGCTCAGCGCCAGGGTCTGGCAGTCCTTCGTGTGAGATGAAGGCGGAAACGATTTTGCAGGAGATTAAGTAGAAAGAGTTCCGTGGCTCTGCCCACCCCGAGGACAGAGCCACCTTACACCGCAGAGCCCCCTGAGTGCTGGGCCGGGGCAGCTGCCCCGGGGCTCTGCTCCTCCGGGCACAGCACCTCTGCGGGGAGCCGGGACTGGAACTTCTCCAGCTGCTCGGGGCTGGCAAGGGTCTTCAGGAGGCTGTTTTCACGCTCCAGCTGGGAGTTTTTCTCCAACAGTTCTTTAATTTGCTCTTTCAGAACCTCCACCTCCTCCCGCACCGCGTACATCAGGTGATTTTTCACAAGATCCTGCAAAAGGCGGGCAAAGAGAGGGATCACTCAACGGTTATGCCCCGGGGGTTGCTCCCGCCCTGCCCCGCAGCGCTCTGCCACAG